ATTTTTAAATAAAACATTTTTCCTTTTTATATTTTTCAAACATCTGTAAGAAAGAAAAAAAAGACTAGATAATTTTCCATTAAATAAAATTATAACATGTGATACTTCTGCTTCCTTCAAAATCAACGCAGAAATAATGATACTGAATTCATTGTAAACACATTGTCAGTATTTCTCTGTTTATTTTACGCCTTTTCAGTTTAAGTTATGCAAATTAAAAATGTCAAGTGGAGGGTTTTTTCTTTAGGTGAGAATGAATTTCGAATTTCAAAGTAGGAACAAAATGCTTAAACGAAGATTAGAGTATAGTATATTGAATAACAGAACTGTGCTGGCGATTTCAAAAAGTAGATTCATTTATGCTCTCCAAGTACATTATTTCAGTAGTGTATTCAAGCTTTAAATAATACTTTGTTCTTTAGTTTCCTAAATTTCTTATCTGCCTTAAATAGACAGGTAATTTCAAGGTTTAGTTTAGATCTCTCTTGACGATTTCTCATTTTCGAGACTTTTGAGTAAACGCTCGGATGTACAATAATGATCGTCAGTCTGAAATATATCTGTATCTTTTGATTAATATTCTCATAAAAATTTCATTAGAAGTTTTTGCTACAAAATTTGTCATGTCATTTTTACTTTTAAAAATGTAGAATGTTGGTAAAACTAGTTTCGAATGCCTGTCTTAAAAAACATTTTAATTAATATAAGCTGGATTTTATATGATTAATAATTTAATATGTCGGCTGACATAGATAAGCTATGAAATTTAAAAAAAATTAAAATATATAGTTTATAACATATAAAATGGTTATGGGTATATCAATTACTTTTAAACACTTTAGGCTCGTATTCTAATGTACTTAATTTTTGTATCTAATATGTTGTTACTGGAATTCTAATTTATTTGTTATAATAATAAACTAATATCTTTTTCAGGATTTACTTGTTAATGAAACTAGTGGTAAGTAATAATTTCTTTTTAATATGCATAAATAAATTATGTCTATGTAGCAATCTTTAAAAAAAGGAAGACTTTGAACATACCCTTTGTTTCGATCGAATCACATCATTTTGCATGACTGTATGTTCTCCTATGACTTTACTTCCCCATAACACGCATCCGACCCATGAATACGTCACAGCCATTGAGCACATTGGTAGAACGTAAGTTACCACAAGGAAAATGATGTTATATCTGAAAAAATAGAGAGATTTTTAATTAATCAGTGGCACATAAAAGAAACTGTAAGCATAATAAAGAGCACCCTTTTTATTATAAATGCCTGTATTCCATTTTTATGCCGGAGTGAGGATGTAATAAGTCAGTTTCTTTTCAATGCAGTCTCTTATTATCCTTGATATTCTTTTCTCAAGACATGAAAATGTAATCTTGGGGAGTAATGAACTTCAAAAATACATGATGTCTTTTATGTTCTAGGTTAAAAATAAAAATGTAAGCATTCATCATGTCATTCCCAATAATATTCTTATATGTGGAAGATAATGATTAATAATTTTTAAAGAGGAGTTTTACTCAAAATATTTTGGAATGATGTTATATTTCGATAAACACTGAAGAAAAAAGAAAAATATTATTAATCATATTTATAGAATTCACACAAATATGCTAAGGCAAACATTTAATCACTATTTTTTAAAAATTACATCACTTGAAATTTAATACATAAATATTGAGAAATTATGAAATTTTATTTTTATTTTTCAGGAATTAACTTTTTTTTTACTTGAATATTTTAAAAACATGCTAAAGCCAGAATGTTGAAAACCGTAAAAATATATTTTATAAACAGCATTTCTTCTGATTCAAATGGTTTAATATAAATATAATAAGAAGAAGCAATATAAGAATTTTAAGATATAATTTTTTTCTTTTCGATATTTGATAAAACAAAAATCATCTTTAATATATTTACCATCTTTAGTGAAATTGCGATCATAATTAAAAATATTTGTCATATAAGAAGAACAAGTATATGCATCAATACATAGAGGCGAAATGGATGAAGAAATCTGAATATTACACTTGTTGGTCGTATTAAGTGATAATGCTCTAATTATGTGTGTGAATATTGCTTAAAGGTGTGAGAAATGTTTTGAAAGAAACACAGGCGTGATAATGTGTACATGAATGATTATGAATTAGGTAGGATTGCTAGGGTGACAGAGGAAATATTCGAAAGATTCTATTCAGATATCGTTAACTCTGTATATGATTGTCTGCAGTAATGATTTCAGGAACGAAATAACGCAGGAATATCGGTTCATGCCATCCAAGGACGACGAGAGAGAACAGCGAATTCGGATTCCATAGCCGTTCTAAATGCTTTAGGGCAACGCAATCAATTGTCACAGGATATGGAGTCACATGGAGACAGGGATTGTCTCCAGAAATTTCGCTTCCACTTTTTTGAACTGTGGAATATTTACTATTTCCACCCTTCATCAGCAAATCCACCCGAAATGGTGTCCTGGAAGAGATGACTGGAGATTCGAATGGAATACATTTGTGTTCATGAAAGAGAATCGTTTATATTTCGGTGCTAATGGCGAACGGTTAATGGTAAGAAGAAGACCTCTTAATAAGCGCTTGCCGAATACTCTCTATCGTGAATATATCAAATTAGCTCCAGAGATTTTAGTTTGCAGAGGAACTGCATATCATCGGTATGAATTCTTTGCCATCATCTCCAAGACTATGAATAAAGAGCGATTCATGTGGGATATTTCTCTAGCAGCCAAAGTTATCTTTCAGACTGTAATTTCAAACCAGCCACCTCTTATAAATGCCATAACTCTATCCACATCTCTCATTAAATAAATCAAATCTTTCATTGAATGATCCACTTCCTACATTTAATGAACACGTGTTGTTATCGATTGAAGGGCAGCTTCAGGTTCATTCCCATCTTCCGACGTGTACTGTTAATCTACACTATATGCCCAAAAGTATCCGGACACTTGCAGATTTTCACATTTTTTAGAATTTCTCCGGAATGGTTTAATCGACTGCCTTTAAACTTCGGACATGTAAAGAATAGACAAAAACTCACATTTTACATTGAAGATTCGGTCTTGAAAGCAATTATGGGGCCGTCTACAAACTGATGAAGACAAAAACGTTTTTGGCCCACCCCGCTTCACAGAATACTCATAAGAAGATGAAACTTTCAGAAATGGTAATGTTTAATGTGCATAATATTTACAGGAATTTTTGTAAACTCAGCGCAAATATTTGGGAAGACATAAAGGTTTTCTCAAAAAATCTCAAATTTTCCAACCTGTTTCTTGCTTATAACATGCAGAGATTTCTGTTATATTATACGAAACTTACAGAAAAGATGACAATATGTTAGACAAGCATTTGTGTAAAACTTTGGAAAAGAATTGTTCAATATTACAGGAATTATGAGCAGTTTTAGTAAATAGTGTATTACTGCGCATGCGCGAAACATAGTGTGATTTTTCTTTCACAACTTTAAAGCCAGATATATAGGTCAACTTATATAAAAAAATTCAGTTCAATATCATTAGTATTCAGAAAGATATCGGCATTACAACGAGCAGAATTTTAGCTCCTGTCGAAGAGAAGCTAAAAGATGAGGGGTTGTACACAAATTGATATTTTTTAAACTTATATCTTTAAATAGTTATATTGAATTGTATAGCGGTTAGAATTTGCTGAATACCCATGAACACATCAATTGCGTGCATAACTTAAATTCCTGCTAATTAGGCACTATAAATAACAAACATTTTATTACTTTAATTATATTATTTACATGATTATTAACAAGTTGCATATTACAATTTTGCGGCCAAACGATATTTTTAAATATATTTATTTTATATTGAAACGATTTTTTATCTAATTAATTTCTTTTCTTAAAATATTTTAATAATTCTACATGAATATTTTTTTATTCGTTGCGAATATTAGATATGTTCATGGGTATTCAGCAAATTCTAACCACTATACAATTCAATATAACTATTTAAAGATATAAGTTTAAAAAATATCAATTTATGTACAACCCCTCATCTTTTAGCTTCTCTTCGACAGGAGCTAAGATTCTGCTCGTTGTAATGCCGATATCTTTCTGAATACTAATGATATTGAACTGAATTTTTTTATATAAGTTGACCTATATATCTGGCTTTAAAGTTGTGAAAAAAAAACTACACTATGTTTCGCGCATGCGCAGTAAAATACTATTTACTAAAAGTGCTCATAATTCCTGTATTATTCAACAATTCTTTTCCAAAGTTTTACACAAATGCTTCTCTAACATATTGCCATCTTTTCTGTAAGTTTCGTATAATATAACAGAAAACTCTGCATGTTATAAGCAAAAAACAGGTGGGAAAATTTGAGATTTTTTAAGAAAACCTTTATGTCTTCCCAAATATTTGCGCTGAGTTTACAAAAATTTCTGTAAATATTATGCACATTAAACATTACCATTTCTGAAAGTTTCATCTTGTTATGAGTATTCTGTGAAGCGGGGTGGGACAAAAACTTTTTTGTCTTCATCAGTTTGTAGACGACCCCCTAATTGCCTTCAGGACCGAATCTTCAATGTAAAATGTGAGTTATTGTCTATTCTTTACATGTCCGAAGTTTAAAGGCAGTCGGTTAAACCATTCCGGAGAAATTCTAAAAAATGTGAAAATCTGCAAGTGTCCGGATACTTTTGGGCATATAGTGTATATATATATATATATATATATATATATATATATATATATATATATAAACAGTTCTACGTCAAGTGTAAGTCTTTATTAAAAGCAAGTAATTTCCGAAACTGCATAAACAATTACCTATATTAAAGCGAGCAACGTGATAATGATTTTTTCAATTCTCTTTTCGTCATTTCTGCTTAAAAAGGCAGTCGATAGATTGATTATTTATCAAACATAAGTTGTCACCTAATTTGTTTGAGCAATATAATAAAATTTATATTAAAGCGTAATCTTTTGCACTCATAGTGTAGTGGTTATCACATCCGCCTGACGTGCGGAAGGTCCCAGGTTCGATCCCTGTTGGGTACACATTTTTTGTCCCATGTCCGCTCAACAGCTACAGTTGTCGTAATGGCATCAGGCACGGGGACATGGGGCGGTGTTCTGTCTAATTTTCTTGGAACTACTAAAATTTCACACGAAATATTAATTTTATTAATTATGAATCAATATGATACTGAAATCATCGAAGAAATCAATTGAGCGATAACCAATATTCCATTAGCGATTATTTTCGAATTCACAATTATTACATAAGAACTTAAAAGAGGTAGATGTAAGAGAAATTTAAATCTATAGTTGTAATGAAACTATTCTGCTATGTTGGCCGAACAATATTCAGACAATGTTTAAAAAATGCCATTAAATTTGTCCAAAAAACATAAAGAATAACAGTAAATTTTAATAAAATCGGCATACAGTTTCATCATCAAATTTCAGTTAGTAATTGTTTAGTTATTACATTGAAGGGTGTAACGTTAAATGAAAAAGTTTAATTTCTTTTGCTTTTTCACGACGTCACAAATAGTAGAAGAAGAAATGGAATACGTAATGAAAGATTTAATGGACATTTGGCGGCACATACATAAATGACAGGATAATGCATTCTAGCATTTTAACATCAAAAAAGTAGTAAAAGCAATGCGATATCAAAGCTCAAAACTTTTATCCAGTTTTATCATATTCTTAAATCTTAAACTTTGAAATTATAACGCTGACTTTTCGTTTTATTTCGAAGATATTTTATAGAGATCCACGATATCGTAATCCTTTGGACCTACGATCTTGGTACAATCAGATTGAAGGCTGCTGAGGTATCAAAGATATTACGACGTTGTAAAGTAGAGTTAGATGGCACAAACACTGTCTTGTGATCTTTTGTTTAAGAAAAAGTGAGAAACTCTTCTAAACTTATCAGAAACATAAAACATTATAGAAAGGGACTATGTTCCCAATAGTCTTTAAATGAATAAATCACCTCAGGAATTTATAGATGTAGGGTGAGATGTAAAATGATAGATTTAGAGCAAAATTAACAAAGCTGACACTGGCATAGAAAGCAATGAAAAATAAAGCATAAATTATAATTTTCAAATTATAAAATATGCTAGAAAAGCGTAAAAAAGAAGGAAAGAAACAGGATCGGCATTGTTAAAATAATGTAAGGAATGTCTCTAATAAATCTGAAAGAAATTAACCTAGAAATAAATTGCGGTTTAAAAAACATATTCAAATTGTGAAGTAAAATCCCCCAAAATTAAGTATTAAAACCAAAGACACTTAAGTGAAATATTCCCTGTTTTTAATGAATTATATTATAATTGGGGAAGATGAGAAAACCAAATATATCCAAAACATTTAAATTTAATTTTGTGCTATTTAAAAATAATTATCTCAGATTTTTGTCAAACTATGGAGTTTGAAAGAATTCAAAATATAGCACAGCATGATTTTTTTTTATATTTACCAGATGTCCGACGGCATGTATTTTTATTTACATCCATCAAGCAGACATAAACATATTAGCATACAGCACTAATTAAAATACAAGCTTAGAAGAAAACTATCAAAATGTCCACTAATGTAACTTCTCTTTCTATGATAATTATATTAACGTTTTATGCGTTGTCATTTTTCCTTCGTTCCTTTATGAAATTAAATAACTAAAAGGTGAAAAACAATTCATTTCAATGAAAAACTGATAACCTTTCATTAAGGGGACACATTACCTTCTCAACATTTGTTTTCGTTTAATGTATTAATAAAAATTTTGATAGTATTCAGACTCAACAATCATATAAAGTCATCTTGAGGAGAAAAATTCCATTTTGATCTGCTTGTTTAGTTAAAAACTACATTTTTTAAAAGAAAAATTCAATTTTTAAAAATCCGTACTATTTTTTCAAATATGAACATTTTTGCTTCAAATTTTACTTGTAGACTCACTGAAATATATTACATAAAACTGTGCATCGATTTTAAAGTGTAACTAATATTCGCTTATATAGAGATATTTTACTGAATCATATGGTGAAAAATGAGAAAAATTAGCAGTATCTCATTTTATATCTTGCATATAAAAAAAACTACGCAAATGAATGCTTATTGCATGCACAGTTTTATCATAAAAATAGCGATAAAAGTGTACAAAAAATTTGAAATCTCTATCTTAAAAAAGAAAAAAAGCCTTATCATTTTGAAAACATGGAAGTGCAGAAAAGTCCGACATGGGGAAAAAATCATTTAAAGTTGTCATTTGCGAATGTTTTTCATTAGTCATCGTAAATAACAGTCTAAATATTTTCTGAAATATTAAAGGTACATATTTGAAATTTTAATACAATAAATAGAACTTTAATAGCAACGAAATAAGCCAATAAAATCAAAATTGTTATTTTGACAATTTCTTGGGTAATGTGTCCGATAAGGTTTAAAGGCAGCTTAAGAAGGAAGATGTACGCAGATATTAAGTCAAATTTTCCTCAATCCTTACATATTAAAATAAATTCGAAGATTACCATAATTATGTCCCATTTAGTTTCCTCCAAAATGATCTGGCTATAACTTCACACCTATAGAGAGCGGCAGAAATGAGAGTAGTGATATCCTTACCTATTTATTACCTCATGTTTCCAGCAAAGATTATAAATTCTGAGAACAAGATTCGGGCGTTTATTTTAATCCTAAATGCTCTATATATGTATGCTACATGTGAAACAAGAGCGAAAATATGTCACATTTTACACTGCAAATGACTTTTGTGAGCAGAAAAACAAGACAACGATGTAATTTCGCATCCGAAAGGCTCGGTGGTGGAAGTCCCCTCACTTACAGATCTAATAAGGTGCCAAAAAGCTCAAAATAGAAATAAATTTGATAGTTATTTATAGCAAATATACAGAGATTATTTCCCAAATTCCTATAAACACGAAATGGACGAAAACAAACTGTTCTCTATGTTCTCCGTGGAATAAGAATACTTTTAATATAAAAATACGAATGATATCGATTTTCTAAGGAGAGATGTGTATTATGCTCCTAGGATATAAATTTTCTTAATTTTAATTCCATTTTTTTATTTCTTTCGAAGAGTAATTTTAAATACTTTATATCTATTTTCCAGAAATCAGATGATATGTAATAGGCATTATATTCAAATAAATGTAACCATAGTACATACGAAGGAATCATTATCCTGTATTACTAAGACACCGTTAAGTCTAACTAAAAGCAAAACAGGAAGAAGTTGAACTGAGTTAGTAATTAAAACTTAGGATCTACCCATGATCGTTATAGACAGAAGAAGAAACATCCCTAATCTTGGGTTATACTATCACCCAAATCATCGAAAAGACGCTTTCAATTTTCAGAAGAAAAAATAAATGCATTATTTCGATAATTTTCTGATCAACATATATGAAATAAATTCAAAGAGAATTAAAAAACACTCTCTGTAATTCAAAATAATTTAGAAAGAATAAAATCAAATGGAATCGGACAAATTCAAACACTAAATAACTGTTACAAAAGATTTTGCACTATAAAATACGGCTATTTCTTTTTTGTAAATACTAATTAATTAATATTTAAATTTATAGTAACCTTCGTCGGCGCAATAAATGCTAACATTGTTCAGGCGCAACTCATAAGTGAAATATAAAGTTAATTTTTTGTCAGCTTACGAAAAGGTTTATCAGACTAGACATTCCGGTGATACAAAACAATATTTGCGCTTTTAAATGAACAACAAAATGCCCAAAATTCAGGAGAGTTGTCGTTTGTTTTCCCAAGATTCTAGCAATGGCAACAGTTGAAACATAAATTGGAAATAACGAAGATAATCATATAATTAGGAATGGGACACAGGTATACGAAGACCTTTCAAGGCATATAAAGAGAAATAGAAAATTCAGGAAACTAAAACTAAAACCTAATATGGCAACTCATCTAGATAAACTCGCCCCTCACTTACTTGAAAGAGCACTAGAGAAAATCCACGATATCCTAATGTGAGGTGATAGGGGTGATTACTAGGGTCCCACACCTTTCTCGTTAAACCCGCAATTAGGCACAAGAAAATATGGGCGCTACTCACAGGATTAGATGCACCCGACGGAGGGTAAAAGCACCTTTATTCCACGGATTTAAACAAAGCAACATTAAGTTTTAAACCCGTTAGGCCTACTGCAACCACAGATGCAGAAAAATGACGCATTTAGTGTCTGCGATTACGACATTTCTGTATCATAAAATAAAGGGAAAATATAAATAGATCCCAAAGTACAAAATTGTTATCTCGTACATAAAAATGCACTAAATGTAAGTTTTGAGTCTCATATTATATTTTAATGTTTTACACTTATTTTTTTGCAATTTTTCTCCAGTATAGAATATTTTTCTTCTGGATATCAAATTTTTATCTAATTTAATTGCAGCTGAAGAAAAATATAATAAATATAATGCCACTATAAAAAAATTGTAAAATTTTCATAAAGTGTGCATTTTGAAAGATAATAAACAATTTGAAAGTATTTGCGGTTCCGTAAAACATGATCATGCAAAGATGGCTGATTTTCTGCATTACATGTTTGTTTTTAATATGAATCGATAAATTTCACAAATAAATTCATTAAAATTTATGATCCATTTAATTATGTATTTAATAATAATTATATACATAATTTAAATATTTGTTCTGTATGTATAAATTTTATTCCAGAAATCTCGATTCCACATATACATAAAAGTGAAAGTAATGAAATAACGGAAGCAGCCTAAAATAAATGGGTAGAGTGAAACCACTTATCCCGTCTTAAAAGCAATTTCATACTGTCTAATCTAGTGACGTTGACCTCTCAATACTTCAATGAGTCTCTCAAGTTCATCGCTCAACATTTTTCTCCCAAACTTAGTTCTTTCTTAATTCTGTCATTTAACTCATGCAATATTAAATACATTTTCATATTTTACTATTTGCTTGTTCATGTCTTAACATTAGCATAGTTTTGGCCTTATCTTCTTCCATTTCA